GGACTGCGGTTCGATCCCCCAGCACCACATGCCAGCCAGCCCCGCCCCCTGGTGGGCTGAGCTGGCCACACACACACACCACACTCTCTCTTTCTCTCTCTCTCTCTCTCTCTCTCTCTCTAATAAATAAAAAAATAAAATAAAATAAAATAATTAAAAAAAAAAAAAGCATTGAGAAGCTGAAATGCTCAAGGTGGTAGATATAAATTTTTCTCCAATTTGTTGTTGTCCTGCAGTTCTAGGAATTGAACCCCGGACTCATATATGCCAGGCGGGTGGCTGTTCCACCGAGCTGCATTCTTAGCCTCCAGAATTTTTATTTTCACACAAACAAATCAAATTATATATCATTAGGAATAGGGGGCCCGCCCATTAGCTCAGTTGTTTAAGTGCCTGCTTAAAAATGCAGGGAGACTGAATTATCATTAGGAACAAATACCAACAGTAGTGTCCCTTGAAGTGACAGGATCATTTCATTCATCCATGAAAATGTCAAGCAGACACGTTGGTGAATGCCTGTAATCCCAATAACTTCCAAGGCTAAAGCAGGAGAATTGAAAGTTCAAGGCCAGCCTGGGCAACCCATCAAGACTATCTCAAAATGAAAATTTTAAGGATTAGAGTGCAGCTCAATACTAATGCACCCCTGAGTTCAATCTGCTGTACCAGAAAAAAAAAAAAAAAAAAAAGTACGGGAAACTATCTCTCAGCAGTACCATCATGTAGTTCCTTTTTTTTTTTTTTTTTTTTTTTTTTTTTGGAAGGCAACTTTTATTAAGTGTGGGAGGCTCAATGAGCTAAGCTCCTAATTCTTCTTACCCTGCCTATTTCCCATAAGTCTCCCGCTATGTCCCCAAGGTGGCACTTCCTGTCATAGCCCGGTTGCCTAGTTACTTGTGCCTTTTACCCGCCGACGTCATTTCCCTAGCCTCCACTATATAAACCCAGCACCTCCCCTGAATAAATGAGACTTGATCAGAGTCCTGTCTTGTCTTCATTTCTTGTGTCTCCTGTCCTTTGTCCCCTCCTCAGTTCCCCGCTCCTCTCCTAGGTGACCTTCGTTGACTGACCCGCTGGCTCGGGACAGTTAAGGCTGATGCGGGATTGCCCCCGCCAAACATCAGCGCGGGCTTGAAGGAAAGAGGAAATGAGTGGCTAACAGGTTGGTCCATGATTGGTCACATGCATAGGTTAATGCATACGTGGGGCAGGTTGAACTGGAGGGGCCAGCCGGGCAGTCAAGGCCAGCCGAATAGGACAGCCCAATTAAGCAGCTATAGGTTGAAAATCTTCCCCACAACTCAAGGACCTCCTCGGAAGCTTAGGAAAGAACCCAGGGCTTACACGGGACACACTCTACCCTGTGTCCTGTCCCTTGCCCTTGGGGGGAGACAAGACACAGAACCAAGAGAGAAAGAGCTGCTGCTCCAGGAATTGGCGTGGCTTGCCGAGAAGGGACAGGTCCTAACAGGGCTCGAGGGAGTGCGGAAATCTTGGGCTTCTTGGCTTAGTGAAGGGAGCACATTACTTCGATGAAGCAGGTTTAGCAGCTGCTCTTCTGAGCTCTAGAAGCCCGAGAAGACACTGACAGACCAAAGGCAAGTCCGAGGGAAGACAGTGGAGGTGCCTGAGGGTCAGGTCCATGTCCAAGTCTTGCTGGTGCTCTAGGGGCAGCCGTTTGGGGCAGCTCCTGCCCATCGTTCCCCTCTTCCTAGTGCTTCACCCTGCACCTAAGGGGCGAAGGTCAGAGATGGTTGATCAGGAGCGCCTCCGTGATCTGCAGGCTCCCCGGAGGTCACTGCCGAAGGAGCTGACCCGGATCCTAACTGTTCTTGCAAGAAACACTGGCAGTTCAAGTGCCTGCTTAGGCAGGCGCAGGGACCGGGGTTCAATCCAGGGTGTGCTGAGCCAGTGATTGAGACTGGGCGTGGTGGTGGGTGCCCGTAATCCCAGCACTTGGGAGGCTAAGAACGAGGAGTCCAATCTGTGCAGTGAGACCCTGGAGACCCTGTACTAAATACATTTAAAAAAAAAAAAAGCATTGTTACCTCAGTGCCAGTCAGCCCTGGGCATGCCTGCAAACCTAGTACTTGGGAGGCTGAGGCAAGAGGATTGCTCCAAGTTCAGGGCCAGCCAGGGCTACAAAGTAAATTCAAGATCTGTAGAGTACTAATGAGATCCTGTCGCAATTTAAAAAAAAAAAAAAAAAAAAAGGTACTCCAAGAAGAAAGGCAGCTCCAACCAGGTCCAAATCGCTTTTCTTCAGGGAGCTGCAGAGGCGCAGTGTCCTTCCCTTGTCACACGGGGGAGGCCTGGGCCTGAGGCCCTTTCGCAATGGCCACGTCCTGGTCCTTGCACGTTGCCCCCGGGGCTCTGACCTGCTCCTGCCGCAGGCCAAGGGTGCTCTGCGCCTGCTGCAGCCCGCAGCCGGTCGGGTCCACGGAGTGCTGGGGCTGGAGGCGCCGTGGCCACCTACTCCTGGATGCGCGTAGAATCCTTTGGCGCGGTGTGTGGACCTTCCAGGTGCCACGGAACCTCTCCGGAGTGACTCTCGAGGTCTGTGAGCTGGGGGAGGGGCGGTTCTAGCGGAACGGAGGCGCCCAAGGAGGTCCTGGGGGAGGGCAGGAGACACTGGGGAATTTGAGATCTGATGGCATCACCCGGAACCCACCATCTTTTGCAGAACCAACTGCTGCTGCAAATGAACCTAGGAAACCCCTTATACGTCATGTATTCAAGTCCAAGATGGATTTTTTTTGTTTTTGATACAGGGACTCTTTCTACGCAATTCAGACTCATAGTAATCCTCCTGTCTCAGCATCCCCAGCATTGGGATTACAGGTGTGCACCACCACACCCAATTTTGGGGCCAGCATGGCATACGATACTTAGGATCAAACTCAGGACCTTGCGCTGACCAGGCAGGCCCTTAGACCACTGAGCTATGTCCCCAGTTTTGTTTTGTTTTGTTTTTTGAGACAGGGTGTCTTTGTAGTTCAATTTTACTGTATTTTTCTGGTTGAATCGTTTTTTAGGGGAGGTTTATTTTTTGTGTTTGGTGCCAAGGACTGAATCCGGGGCTTCCAGCTTGCTAGGCAAGCATTCTACCTCTGAGCCAATCTCCAGCCCCTCTATGTAGTTCAAGCTGGCCTTCAATTCACTGTGTAGCCCAGACTGGCCTCAAACTTGTGGCAGTCTTCCTGCCTCAGCCTCCGGAGTGCTAGGTTTATGGGTGTTGGGAGCAGCTCAAGTGGGAAATTGGTCATATGTGGGAGGACAGGACAAGGCCACAGTGCCTCAAGCAGTGGCTACTTCAGTCTTGACAAAAACATCCTGCCTGCACAGTTTCCAGCATCTGTCGCTTAGCAACCTTGTATCTCATCATACTAACCCTGCAAGAGTATAAATAGCATCCCCACGGTTGTTCTTGGGTCCTCCGCTCAGCAGGCAGACAGGCCTCCACCTGACCCCGCTCTTGTCTCGTCCATCTTTTCCTCATGCCCGCTGCCATCTCTCCCAGGATACACTCGAGACACCAGCCAGTTCCAACACGGGTGCACCACCATGCCTGATTAGTGAAGTAAATTTTATTTTATTTTTTTTCACTTCAAAGAATTTTACTTGTTATTTCAAATATAATTCATGCCATTTTTCTCTATAACATTCCATAATATTGAAATTGAAATGTTGCTAAGTTCGAAGAAAGAATAATAACAGTGATCCTTCAGTTCATGAGCGTGATGATTGGGTATTCATGTCTTATAATGCATGAGCTGTGCCTCCCTCAAACCATGTTACAACGTAGGCACATTACTCATCTGACGTGAAAAAAAAAGCCATAATAACAGCCATTTTAGAAACTGGAGATACTCAAGCATTGATCGATTCAGTTGCCACACAGCTGAAGAAGTTTCCATCACATGGACAAAAAATTCTCAGAAAATTTATACACAGAAAAATGTAGAATAATCTATTTCATAGAGAGCAGGTCAAATGGACTCAAAGACTTAATGTAGGAGACTCAATGGGAGGCAACACAGAGCTTTCTTCTGGGGCATGAATAGAAACCAGTTCACATCAGCAAGAAAGGATTTTTCCTCCATATCTAAATGCTTGCCTCTGTTTCGGGCTCAGAGCCGAGTCCTGTCATTTGAACTGGTTGTCAGTCAAAGTTCCTTTCATTTTTGCTTTCTTGGCTTCCAGTTCGCCAGCTCTCGCAGTCTTCTCTTGCTCATGCCTTTACGCTCCAGCTGTTTTTCAATCACTTTGGCATTCTGGGCATATGAGTCAGCAACTTCTCTAGCCTCAATCTCCTCTTCTTCTTCATCAATGGTAGACACGGTGACAGAGCTGAACTTGCCCATGTCCTTAGTCCGCTTGGTCATCATCACCTTTTTGGGAGGCTCTTGTTTCTGGGTATATATATTTGTTTTCCCAAAACCCTGGCCAAACTTCACTACTGCTCCATCCACAATGAAGGTTACGGGAGCATTCTTCGGCTGGGACTGGTAGAACAGTGGGAGTCCGCACTTTGCACACTTCTTCCTGTATTGTCTTTCAATGCCTTCAGGCCTCCGAAGATACATAGTCTCCTCATCTTCTGTGTTACAAAACTTGTGGGCATGTTTGGCAGCATCAATCACACGGGATCTGTCCCGGGGTCTCATGGGCAATTTCTCTAACTGACAGTCCAAAACCAGGACCATCTGGCCGCACAAACAGTAGTAAACATGGAGAGGCTTCTCGCCGTCGTCATATTCCTCACGATCACGAGTATCTGAGCAAACCACCGACCGAGACACCACTTTGGGCATGTTCCTAAGTGTAACCAAGGACCTGGTGACAAAAAAAAGAGAGCCGGAGGAATCTGAAGTAAATTTTAGAACAGCACTTGGAATAATTTAAAATATTTTGCAGCGTATGATGATGCAGTGTGATTAAATAACATTGGTATTTACACTTTTTTTTTTTTTTTTTTTTTTTTTTTTGCGGAACCGAACCGGGGATTGAACTCAGGCCCTTGTGCTTGCCAGGCAAGCACTTATTCTACTGAGCTATCTCCCCGGCCCCAGTATTTACACTTTTAAAATTACAGTGAAGGACTCCGCCACTCCACGCGCGCACACACACACACACACACACACACTTCCTCAAACACACTTAGCCCACAATTGTCACTTCTGGAAGCTGTTCTGAAAGTCCTCTTTACAATAATTTCTGCCAAAGAAAAACATGGCCTGTGTCCTTGTCTACCTTATTCATTGGATCCTGCACCATGTGACTTCTAGTTCCTGCCCCAAAGTCAAAAAGGACCCAGAAAGGTAAATGCTGTCACTGCACTCAGGACGTGGCAGCAGCCGCAGCAGACCCCTGGCGACTCGGGAAAGAGGGTTCCAGGAGGGCCGGGCCGGGCGGCAGGGTGGGACAGGTGTGTGTGGAACGGGTGGACGTGGAGTGGGGCTCGTGGCAATGTGTGTGTTCCTCTCATAAATCGTTTTAAGTGTGAACAATCACTGTATTTTTTTTTTTAATCACACCATGTACATAGTATTTGTTTTCATCTGGTTCTGGTTATCGTTTACAACCTAAAATGTTTTTTGGATCTCTTTCACCTTTAAAAAGCTATTGATTTTTATTTTGCTAAATTTTATAATTTGTAAAAATATTAAGTTTTTTTTAATGTATTTAGTACAGGGTCTGACAACCTAGATCAGCCTCCCAAGCGCTGGGATCACAGGCATGCGCCACCAGGCCCATTCTCAATGGCCGGCCCAGCACGTTCCGGTGGTGGGCCAGATGCCCTGCCAGGGATCGAACCAGCTGCTGGGCTCTGCCTAAGCACGCGCTTTAGTCCGCTGAGCTGTCTGGCCGGCCCAGTAAGTTTTCAGTTTCATTGTACTCCATAAAGACAGTGTTACTTGAGGAATTCTTGCACAAGAGACCACGTGCTTTCCGGGCCTCCCCTCCCTGGGCTGACCTTCCCAGAGCTCAGCCCTTGCAGCCTTAGTAGCTGTCGCAGCTGTTGAGCTGCCTCTTGCTTACCTAAGTCGCACGCTTGGAGCTTCTGTAGAGCTGGGCCGCAAGCGCCTGGAGGGAGGCCCCCTGCACCGGGCCTGGGACCCCACAGACTGGGCTGCTCCTTTGCATTACCAGATCCTTCAAACTTGAATTCTCTGTGTGTAGAGCCAATCAGAGTGCTGGCTTCATTTCTTCTCTCGAGATTCCAAGCAGGTGTTTAATAGGATGGCCCAGAGCAGACGCCCCCCCTCAGGAAGGGGGTACAAAATTCTTTTTTTCTTTTTCTTTTTGTATTTAGTGCAGGGTCTACAGGGTCTTAGTACACAGATCGGACTCATAGTGATTCTCCTGTTTTCAGCTTCCCAAGCCCTGGGATTACAGGTGCGCGCCACCACGCCCAGTCGCAGTCTCGGTCACAGTGCACCCCTGGGGCACGGCACGGAGATCGAACTCCGACCCTTGCGTCTGCCTAAGCAAGCACTCTAATCTTCTGAGCTATCTGGCCGGCCCCTGTAAAATTATTTTCCTCCTTTTCATTGCACACACTGGCTCCAGGCAGCGCATTTATTTTTCTTTTGTGTTTTAACTTTATAGGTACATTTAGAATACATTCTGGTCACGTTGATCATAGGACATTTGTACTCATGCATGATAAACCTTGATTCTTTGCTATTTCCCCCATTTACAAAAGCTTTGTTTTCCTTTATTCCTTTTCCCATTTTTTTCATTTCCCCTTCCTTCCTTTTCTCCTGTTTTTTCTTGTAGACAGGTTCTTACTGTGCGTTTAGGGGTATCCTTTTATAGCCCCCAGGCTGACCTCGAACTCACAGCCCTCCTCCTGCCTCAGCCTCCCCAGCCCTGGGCTTACAGGTGTGCGCCACTATGCCTGCTTCCAGGGCCTGCACAGCGTGCAGTACTGGGGATCGAACCCCAGACCTTGCCAGGCAGGTTCTTATGCCAGCAAGCTGTCTCCCCAGTCCTCCTTTCATATCTTGGCTAAGTGCAAAACCTTGCGACCCTTTCTACTTGTCTTGACGATCCTTCATTCAGAACCTATAGATCACCTCCGGCAAGTGCAGCATCCCGGCCCCAGTAACATACTGCTGGGCGGCCCCATCGGCTGGGCTGTGGGTGGGCTTCCATCCTTCTTGTCTTCCCGCAGAGGTTCTGCGGCAATGCTTAGTCACCCGAGGGCCAGCACTTATGTAAGGGCAAGTGAGCCGCCACAGTCACGTGTCCCTCGCCCCTGCCCCCCCGTGGCCCGAGTTTTCCTGGCGCTCCTCGCTGCCTCCCCTTGTTGCTCTCTCAGCACCCCTCACTAGTGCTTGTCCAGGTGCACCCCGGGCCTGCCCAGCTCCCCGGGCCCAGCGTGACAATGACAAACATGGCCCAGCAGGGCCCGCCTCTCTGGAGGCCTTGGGCCCAGCGCTTGCTATTCTGGGGGCCCCTTTGCTGTCTTCTTGTTCTGAACCCCTTTTTCTTAAAATGTCTCTGTTGTGAACATTGAAAAAACTCAGAGCAAATGGTGTGCTGACAAGGGAATTCTTTTAAAGAGAATAATAATGGCAAGAATAAAATTAAAATAGAGGGCTGGTGAGATGGCTCAGTGGTCTAAAGTACCTACTTAGAACAAGCTTAGCAAAGCACAGGGACCGCGGTTCAATCCCCCAGCACCACGTGCCAGCCAGCCCGCCCCCTGGTGGGCTGAGCTGGCCACACACACACACACATAAATAAAATTAAAAAAAAATTAAAATAGAAAAAATATATAATTTAAAATTCAAACAAAAAATTCATAAGAAAAATGCATATTAAAATATACATAATATATAAGTATGGTAAATGTATATATTATACTTATAGTAAATATACTTATTAAATGTATGTTATATGTTATATACATTTAATATACAAGTAAAATAGAAAAATATAAAAAATATATTTTTTCTAATTATTAAGATGTATTTGGTACAGGGTCTCATTGCGCAGCTCAGACTCAGTGATCCTCCTGTCTGAGCCTCCCCAGTGCTGGGATTACAGGCATGCACCACCACCCCCAGACTTGGTGGCTGGCTCAGCGTGCCCTGGGGCAGGGCTGGCGCAGCGTGTGGTGCCAGGGATTGAACCCCTGCACTTGCCTAAGCAGGCGCTTAGTCCACGGAGCTATTTCACTGGTCTTTAATTTCTAATTATTTTGAACAGAAACAACAAGCCATGCCTACACCTGTAATCTCTGCACTTGGGAGGCTGAGGCAGGAAGATCGCCATGCGTTTGAGGCCGGCCTGGGTTACAGAGTAAGCTCAAAGCCATTCTGAAATACATAGTGAATCCTATCTCAAAAAACCAGCTGGGGATATAGCTCAACAGCATAAGCGCCTGCCTGGCAAGGGCAAGGTCCTGAGTTCAATCCCTGGTACTCAAAAAAAAAAAAAAGTTAATTAATTAAAACAAAAGATAAGGACAAATAGCTACATAAGTACCTTTTTATGTATTTAGTTCAGGTCTACAGGGTCTCACTACACAGATCAGACTCGTAGTGATCCTCCTGTGTTCAGCCTCCCAGGCGCTGGGATTACAGGCATGCCCCACCACGCCCAGTCTCAATTGCTGTGTAAGGCCCCCCAGGGGCAGGACCAGCACAGCAGGCCTGGAACCGAACTCCAGCCGCTGCGCTCTGCCTAAGCAGGCGCTTACATGAGGTTCTGTGAGGGCCACTTAATAAATTCCTCTATCTGATAGTGATACAGGAGAAATACAGCAAGGCGGTTAGGTGCAAGTTTATGTGGAAATAGGAACAGAGACGAG